GTTTCATGAAACGGGAGAAATGGAGGCAGAATCATTGTGAGCAGCTCTGAGGCGATAAACCACCTGAGCAGGTGAGCGAGCACAGCTTCAGTACGGAGCGTGGAGGCTGCAGTGACCCGCGGTGTCCTGCAGGAGGCGCTGTTTCCTCACAGTCTCCTCTGTACGTTCAGTGTTTGTGAGTCTGAACTCTTTTCTATCGTGTTTTTGTAGCAGGTTAATAAATCGTGCAGCATCAGACGCGTGTGTGTTTCAGTGTTTCCTGCTCATCTCCCACAGACTGTATAAAGAAGACGGACACAGCCTGTGTTTTATTTGAAAATCAGCGAGAACAGGAAGTGAGCTCACGCTGGGACTAGGCGTGCTGGAAGCTGCGTCTGTGTGCTGGGCGTGTCCTCTCCTAGCCAATCACAGCACACAGCGCCCTCTGCTCTGATGGACGGAGGAGGACATGCGGAGGGTGGAGGTGTGGAGACACTGGCCCGAGTGTGACAGACACACCTGAGCGGGGCGCCGTGCTGCTCGTTCGTTCAGGTAAGCTTCACCGTGGCGCTCTGCCTGCAGACCCGAGTCACGCGGCACGCCACACGGTTCAGCCCGCATGTCCTCCTGCCGCGCCAACTTCCCAGGTCACCGAAGCGCCGCGGGACGGCCTCTCAGCTTAAACGTGCGGTTGTCGTGTGCAGGCTGTCAAACTAACGTGACCTCTGACCTCTGAGCAGTTCGAGCACCATGACCTGATCTTTTCCATTATGTAAGCCGGAGGCACACTGACCTGCTCTTCAGTCACAGAAGTGCATTTAAAGTGAATCTTAACACCATGTTTATGTGACTCTGAAACTCCGCCCACTAAGCTCTGATAATATGGCGTCCCCAGAAGACCACGAGACACTCCCCGCAGTCTCCGACAGCCACGCCCAGATGTCTTCTCTGAATCTTCAAACAGAGTCTGAACGTCCGCTGAGGCCGAGCTCTCTTCACACTGATGTTTGATAATGATGTTCTGACGGTTGGTGGCTCATCATGAACCTGCTGGACTCCAGCTTATACGCCTCAGTTTATTAATATTAATATTATACCCATCAGTGTTTGGGAGGTCGAGTGAAGGAGCGTCCTGCTCTCCTTCAGACGTTGTTGCTCTTCTGCTTTGGTTCAAAGGTTAATAAATATGATGAAGAGGAGGATGGATGAAGCACAGCGTGCAGTGAGCCCGCTGCTTCATCACACAGTTTCACATTTAAACCATTTCATACAGAAACAGTCTCACACTCATCTGACCTTATTAGCACTGCTGTCCTGACCAACGTTCCCTCTGTTTCACGTGAACACACAAACTGAGCGTCCCCTTAAACCACTGTGAGCGACAGCAGACGTGTGCACTGTGGTCACGCCAGCATCCAATCATCCAAGTTACATGTTTATTAAAGTAATCTAATTATAGCGTTTATGTTAGACTACTTTTAATTAACTGCTTTAGCCCACTTACAATGAAAATAAAAACAATCTTGTTCATGTGCAGCATGTTCACACTATTGGAAGGAAAAATAACTTCAACTCCAATTTTAAAAACAACTTTTTTTATTTATTTATTTTTTACAAAGCTCTGACTTGAGTCTGTGGTCTGGGAGAGAGTCTGTAACTCTGTCTGCAAATACAGTAAATAATGACCAATGTTGGGCAATTAAT